AAAAAAAAAAAAAAAGAGGGAAACCACACAGCATGACCTCAGTTATATAAACTGTGCATACATAAGTGTCTTCCTGGATAGAAAAGAGACTTAAAAGAAAAAAAAAAGATGTAGAAGTAAACCCACCATCATTTATAGCAGATTATTTCTGGGGCCATGAGATTATGGATGATTTTTTTTTCTTTTTTAATGGTTCCTTATTTTCAAAATTTTCTACAACAACTCTTACGTGTACAATCAGAAAAAGCCAGAAGTATATGACAGGGTGCCTGGGTGACTCAGTCGGTTAAGTGTCCGACTCTTGATTTCAGCTCAGGTCATGATCTCACGGTTCGTGAGATCGAGCCCCGCATGGGGCTCAGTGCTGACAGCACAGAGCCTGCTTGGGATTCTCTCTCTCAAAATAAACATTAAAATAAAAGTATATGCCGTTGATAATGTATTGTGGTTCTGTGTGTGTTCGTTCAGCCCCTGTCTTTTAGAGATTCGGACTAGAATATTCACATTTGAATAAAACAGTCTTTGATTTGATTAAAATGAGGGGGGACATGGTGGAGGAAGCAGCTGGGGACAGACATGAAACATACCTGCCTTGAGTGGGCAATGACTACATGGGGGCTCACTATCTACTATTCTCTTTAATATATGGGAGAAATTTTCTATAATATAGAATTTTTAAAATATATACATTATATAAAATATACATGGGTAATAGATAATCAAGTGATACATGTTTGTATGTGAGCAAAGTTTAAAAAAACCTTAACGATCCATTTTCTTTGTAAACATAGAATGTTTCTATGAGAACATTCTGAAAGTGCTTTTGGGTTTTCTCTTGACAAGCCATTTCCTTAGAGAGAAACCAAATGGCCCAGCCCCAGCCACAAGCCCCAACTCCAGGGGACAGGAAGTTCCCTTTCTGTGCAGGGAGGCAGACATGGGTATCTGTGCTCTCAGTGAGGTCACTACCCACTTCTGGAAGCCAGGTCATGGCCTTCCACCCACGTGGACCTGGAATCCCCCACCTGCCGAATGGGCCATTGTGAGCCCAGCCTTCCCACACATTACAAGAGCAGGTGGACACAGAAACTCTGGATGAAGAAACGAAGAATGTGGATTACATAAGAGGCTGGGTTCTCTGGAGCCTGGGGCACCGGCAGGGAGCTCTGGGCAGAGGGGACAGCCCTGAAGGCAGGGTGTGGAGAAGACCTGACTCTATTCAATGACGTGTGCCCAGTGATGTGTCCTCCCCGGAACCTGAAAGTGACAGAAGGGTGACCCCGGCCTCACCCACCCTGAACTGAACTCAGGCAACAAGGGAGACTCTGAGCCCCGTCCTGAGACCAAAGCCTCCCCAGTGAGGAGGACTTTGCAGGATAATCAATCTTGTTGCGGACAGGCTGGCTTCTTTAGGAAAATCCACTGGGAGAAACTTCTCTCAGGCCCTGAAGCCTATAATCTCTAGGCTTTTCCTGGGAATTTGCTTGTTTCCATTGCGGATATTATAAATCTTAGAACAGACTGTGTTTCTGTTTTTGCTCTGGCTACTGGAAATCTCTAAGTTCTCCCACCTTCCTAGCACTCTCCTGAATTTGCTTCTCTGTATGAACTCAATTTTGGTTTTTATTTTTCTTTTTTTCACTGATCCTTCGCTACCTTTGTTTTTCTTTTCTTTTTTTGTCCTCTGTATGGTTTTCCTGAAAGCTACATCATATTATTTTTGGAAGGAGACAGCGATGAGTAAACAAAATAACACTGTGACGTTTGGGATTCATGTTAAGAGTCCTTCTGTCTAAACACGTTTACTGTTTTGTTTTGTTTTGTTTTTAAGCCTCACAACATCTCGAATGAATAGGTAGGTGCTTTCTTCCCTCACTTTCTTTCTTCCTTTTTTTTTTTTTTTTTTTTTTTTTTTTAGGTTGGGTATTATTCTCAGTAAGTTGTGTATGCATGCAAGTTTCAAAGAGTCAAATGATTGCTGTCACAAAACAACAGCCGCCTCCTAACACCCCTGCCCCCATTTCCTGTTCCTCAGAGGCAACAACTTGGAATTCTTTTCACTGGTTCTGAAGAATATGCTGATGATGCTACTTCTGGATTTTTCGGTTTGGGGCATTTTTTATGGACTTCCCAGTATGAAGACGAAGATGTTATTCTCTTTCAGATGCCCTCTCCCTCATTCCCACAATGTTCCTCTTCCTGCCCTGCTTTTTGATGGCTCAGCCATAGCCCTCAGCACTAAGGCTATTTTGACTACCTATAAACTGTGGAGAGGTGTGCAATGCAGTATGTGGGGTTATTTTTCCCTTTCGTCTTCCCTGGAGTCAGTCTCTCTCCTTAGTTTTACCTCCCACCCCCATCTGACTGGTGGGGAACTTGGGTCCCACAGCACAGTGAGGTCCTGCCCAGCTTCTCTTGGATGTCGGCCAAACCAGGCACCCCAAAACCCCCTGCTGGACCCTTCTGGGAAGACCTGGCTTGCCGCCTCTGTGGTCTCCATTTCTCTTTAAGGAAAGAGAGAACTCCCGAAAGTCACAGTCCCGCGAAACTTACCTGGAAGGAGCCAAGGGCCAATTCAAAGAACAGCTGGACCTCCATGGCATCTTCTGGGGAGAAGGCGAAGATGATGTAGTGGACTCCGAAGAGGGGGATCAGCAGGAGGGTAGACTTGGCCAGGCGCCTACAGACACAGACCCAGACCCGCTGCGGTGTCCTGCCCCCTTCGCCCAGGGCACAGCTCCACACACCCAACCTGCCTGACTGCAGGAGGCCAGCGGAGGCCCCCCCCCCCAACCTTTGTGGTTTGACTTTTCATTCTAGAGAATTTCTAACCCCCCCATACCCACCACCCATGGCCAGTCCCCAAAATACCTGATTACGCACCCCTATCGGCAAATAACATTTGGACACAAACCCACCCAAACAACTTTATTATTTATAAATGATGTGCATGTGTTATTTAACATATTATTCGCAAAGCCAGGATTCTTTTTTTTTTTTTTAATAATAAATACCTATAAGGAGATGTGCTTTTTTTTTTCTTCCCAGATTAGGGTTGCTAAATTTAGCAAATAAAAAATACAGGATGCCCAGTTCAATTTGAATTTCAGATAAGCAAAGGATCATATTTTTTTGAGTAAGCAACTAAAACACTATTTGTTGTTTATCCAAAATTCACACTGAACTGGGCATCCTGTATTCTATCTTGCAGCTTTATCCTGAATCCCCGGCTCCAGCTTACTCTAGACACCACTGCTCTAAAGATGTCCTGGAGAACCTGTCACCAAGTAATCTAACTCACTGCCGGATTCTCAAAGCTCAGAACCTCAGCGAGAAAGCCCTTGCTGGACACTGATTTGTCTTTAACTGTTCTGTGCTGAATTACATCTCCCCAGCCCCAATTCATAAATTGAAGCCCTAACTGCAGGACCTCAGAAATACCTATCTCTGCTTGCAGATAGGACCTAAAAAGAGGTGATTAAGTTAAAAGGAGGTCGTTAGGATGGGACCTTAGTCCAATCAACTGGCGTCCTTTTAAGAAGAGGAAGAGACACCTCTGAGCACAGACAAAAGGACCCAGGGAGAAGGCAGCCGTCTACAAGGCAAGGAGAGGGGCCTCAGAGGAAACCAGTCCTGCCGGCACCTTGACCTTGGGTTTCCAGCCTCCAGAACTGCCAGTAAGTTTCTCTTCTTTAAGCCACCCAGTGTGTGGTTATGTTATAGTAGACCTAGCAAACTAGTACAGCATCTCCCTTCAACTTCTTAAAGGTTTCAGAGTATTTCTGGATCACATATCTTGAAAATCTGATGAAGGCCATTCTCCCTTGAACAATACACAGACCTATATCGATGTCCCTGAAGCTGGGTCCCCGAAACCCATCAAGAGAGTCCCTGGCGTTGCCCCAAGCACAAATCTCTGCTTCCTGGGATCCTGAGAGATTTCTTATCTTCCCACCACTGGGGCAGCATTCTCAGGCTGCACAAAGGACCCATCCCACCCCCCACCCCACCCCCATTCCTATTTACATTTGTAACCTCCCAGGAACTAGGTCCAGTTGGGTAAACAATAGGTGCTCAGGAAATACGTGCTGACTGAGCAAGCCTTGTCTTTGCCTTCCACTTACTTATAATGGTTCGCTTCATTTCCTCTTGTCTCTTGGGTTCTCAGTTTTCTCATCAGGATTCTTAGGATGTTTATAAAAAGGATGAAATTAATCTGTAAAACACAAGACAGAGGTGGGGCTGAAGGTGATCGCCACCCCTCCAGGCCCCTGACCCCTGGACCTGAGGGCAGAGAAGGCACTGCAGGCCACACCCGAGATCGCACCACTGTGCCTCCCCTCACCTGCCCCACAGTCCTGGTGGAGCAAACCTATGGGAGAGGATGACTGACCCGGCACCCGCTCCTACCCCCTGGCTGCTGGAGCTCTGAGGTCTGCTCAGTTGCCATCAGGGATTATTCACACTGGGGGTGCATTGAAACCCCTGGGGACCTTGTTAAAATGCAGGTTTCGGGTGACCTGGAAGTCTGTATTTCCATCAAGCTCCAGATGATGTCAAAGCTGGTCCTCGACTACACTTTAAGTAGCACGGCTTTCTTCCAGCAGAGGTTTTGTTGTCATTTTAATGTTTATTTATTTTGAGAGACAGAGAAAGCTCAAACAGGGGAGGGGCAGAGAGACGGGGCGAGAGAGAATCCCAAGCAGGTTCTGCACTGCCAGTGCAGAGCCCGATGTGGGGCTCGAACTTACGAGCCCTGAGATCATGACCTCAGCCAAAACCAACAGGCAGATGCTTAACAACTGAGCCACCCGGGTGCCCCACCAGCAGAGGTTCTTAAGGTTTAGGGTATTGACTGGGGGGTGGGGGTGGGGTCCCAAGAATTTGCACTTTTAACAAGCTTCCAGGTGATGGTGAAGCTGCCGGCCTGGGGACCATACTTTGAGAACCACTGCCTCAGAGCCTTATAGCCTCACTTTGCAGTTCAATCACCAACTCCAGGAAGCCACCCTTGATCACCTCTCTTTTCCTGATATATTGCAGTGAGGGATCATGTCGCCGTGTAAGCACTTGAAATGTTTGAAAGAGGACAAACGCATGCGTCTGTCAAACTTGTGCGTGTCCACATATCCGCCAGTCCCAATCCCAACTTCCTAAAGGACAGGAATGTAGTTTGTTTATTTCTTTTGGTGTTGCCTCCCGGAGCCCAGTGCCAGAATGTTATAAAGATGCCCACACGGGGGTACCTCTCCTCCTCTCTCACCCACCTACGGCTCCAGCACCATTTACAGAAGCAGGGATCAGTGGGCTCGGCCAGCCGGGCACCCTCATTGTTCACACAAACAGCCTGGGGCCTGGGAATGCTGGCCACAAGACAAGGATTAGAGGCCTGTCAGGACTCCTAGCCCAGCTGCTTCTTCAGGAACATGCTTCTCAGCTTGTTAGTTTATGCCTCTCGCTTAGAGCTGGCTATGCATGGTGTATATGAATAAAAGCTTTTTTTTTCCATTTATTTTTTGTCTTAGAGTTGGATTCAATTTAATAGGGAGCACTGGAAGGCAAAAAAAAAAAAAAAAAAAAAAAAAAAAAATCTCTAAGATCCCAAGAATGAGTCCCAAATAGTGAAATTCCAGGCCCTGTGACCAACTGGGTTGGGAGGTTTTTATTTTGTTTCGTTTTGTTTTTTTAAGTTCTTACTTAGTCTTTGCACCCAATGTGGGGCTCAAACTCATGACCCTGAGATCAAGAGTCATAGCTCTTCCTTTTTTCTTTTTTTTTTTTTAAGATAAAACCTTTTATATTTTTCTTTCTTTATTTTTTATGTTGAGTTATTTTTGAAAGAGACAGAGACAGAGACTGAGCATGAGTGGGGAGGGCCAGAGACAGAGAGGGAGACACAGAATCCAAAGCAGGCTCCGGGGTCTGAGCTGTCAGCCCAGAGCCCGACATGGAGCTCGAACCCACAAGCTGTGAGATCACGACCTGAGCCGAAGTCAGACACCTAACTGACTGAGCCACTCAGGTGCCCCATTCACATGCTCTTCCAATCGAGCCATCCAGGTGCCCTTGTTGGGAGATATGTTGCATCAGGAGTATCCAGCAAACATTCAATCGCTACACAGACCCAGTCCCAGGAAATCTGCCAGGACGCTGGGGCCCACTGTCCCTCCGCTGGGGCTCTCCTGGGCTGGGCTGTCAGATTCCCAGAATTATAGCAAGGAAACTGGCCTAACTGAATGAGGAAATGCCCTCCTGTGGGAATATCATGCAGTCATAACACATTGGTTTGTTAGATAATTTCAAAGGACATGGGACACCTCACATCTCTTGCTAAGTGAAAAACCAAACTAGAATACAAAACTATATTAAGCATTTTGAAAAAAGTATGTTTTTCCTCAAAGAAAAAGGAAAGAAAAGCACATGTGTATTCATTGTGTGTATCTAGGTGCTAAAAGTATGTGTGATTTTATTCCCTTTTGAAAAACAGACTTTGTATCTTCCAACTTTTCTTTTTACATGAAGTCTATTATTTAGAAAAAGGGGGCGGGCACACCTATGTGGCTCAGTCAGTTAGGCATCGACTCCTTATTTTGGCTCAGGTCATGATCTCCCAGTCGTGGGATCAAGCCCCGAGTAGGGCTCTGTGCTGACAGCATGGAGCCTGCTTGAGATTCTTTCTCTCCCCCTTTCTCTCTCTGCCCCTTCCCCGTTCACGCATGTGCACTCACTTTCTGTCTCAAAATAAATAAACAAGCTTTTAAAAAATGCTCAAAAGGGGCACCTGGGTGGCTTAGTCAGTTGCACCTACAAGTTTAGCTCAAGTCAGGATCTCATGGTTTGTGAGTTCGAGCCCCGCATCGGGCTCACTGCTGTCAGCCTGTCGGCACAGAGCCCTCTTCGGATCCTCTGTTCCCCTCTCTCTGCCCCTCCTCCCACCTCCAAAAAAAATTTTTTTAATGTTAAAAAAGAAAAAAGGAGGGAGGTCATGGGATGGCAGGATGGCTCCCTTCCCCCAACTGCCCCTAGAAGGTCACCAGCCAGCCAGTGGAAGAGGAGGGGCTGCTGCCCTGTGCGGCACCCCTGCCCTGCCCCAGAGAGCCCATGAAGGGCACTTCCTGTCAACTGGTCCTGTAGCCATGGGGTCCCCCTGAACCCTGCGCCCGGCTGAGGGGCTGATTCCATCCAGGAGACAACCCGAGGGTGTCCCCCGTCCTCTGTCCCCCTATTTCATATCCACACCCACAGGCTCAGCTCCAGGGCTCCCAACCCTGACTGCAGAGTAGAAGCACCTGAGAACGTAAACCAGAGATTGATGTCCGGGCCACTCCCCAGAACAACGAGAGCAGAATCTCTGGTCCTCAGTATTTTTTTTTTTAAATGTTTATTGATTTACTTTGAGAAAGAGACGCAGAGAGGGACAGAGAGTGGGAGAGACAATCCCAAGCAGGCTTCGCCTGTCAGCGCAGAGCCTGCTGTAGGGCTCCAACTCACAAACCGTGATATCATGAGCTGAGCTGAAATCGAGTCGGATGCTCATCGACTGAGGAACCCGGGTGCTCTGGCCATCAGTATTGTTAAACAGCTCCCAGGTGATTCTGAAGGGCATCCCAGTTGAGACCCTCTGAGTTCCCTGTCCCTAAGTCACTCTTGTATCTCCTCCCCACCCCTCCCAACAGCACCCTGAGGGCCCAAGACCATGCCTCACTCAGCTTTCCTCAGCTCCCTGCCTATGATCCCAGCTCAATGATTCTTCCCAGTAACAAGGGGATGCCTAGAAAACAGATCAGGACAGGACCCAAAGATCTGAAGGGGGGGGGGGTGATTTCAGCACAGAGCCAGCCAGGTTAGGGCAAGGAGCTCGGCTAATCACATTTCAGTGGCTACTCACAGACCAAAGGGAGTTATGTAACCTCCTAACTGCCCCTCCCACTTCCATCCGCCATTCTCTGGAGGGCGGAGCTTCTAGACCCTCCTGCGGCTGCCAACCTCTGGAAGTTCTGTGGTTGATCCCTCCCCACACCAGGAGGGAGCCCTGTCTCTTGGCCTTTTGTCCAGGCCAGTCACTGTTGCCCTCTCTCCCACTGGAGCCCAGCCCAGGAAGATGGCCACTCACCAGGATGGAGAGGATCACAGGCCCTCGAATGACCCACCAGATGGACTCGTTGGCGTTGATGTCCCAGCACCTGTGGACAGCCAGGCTCCGTTAGGCGTGGAGAGCTGAGCTGACCTGGAAAGGCTAGTCCTCTGAGGAGCCCTTCGTATGAATGGTCCATGCTGGTGACCCTGAGCACTGCGGCTGTGTGCCCAGTGCTATCAGAAACGACTCTCCCCTCTGGCTCAGAGCACATCTGAGGCTGACGATGCCTCCAGAGAACTAGCCTGTGGCCCCCAGTTTGAAAAACAGGCCTCTCCTAGATAGCTCCCAACAAGTGTCCATCCTGTTCGAAGAGCTGGATGCTATAAAATACTCTCCTGTTACCTCTCCTTCAAGCAGCTTACCCAACATCTTCCAGAAAGTGCCTGCTGATGGCCCACAAAGCAACAAAAACAGCTGGGGAACCTGAAGAATAAAAGCAAAGGGAGGGACGGGAGAGAGGGGACTCAGTTTTCAACACCCGCACAGGGACAGGACAGTTACCCCAGCCCGGTAGTGAACAGGTGCACGGAACCCCCTAGGAAATCCTGTGCAAATGGGTAGCCTCCTGCTTCAAGGGTGGCAGGGACGCCCTGGGAACTGAGGACGCCCTGGGCATCAGATGGATCCTGAAGGCCACGAGGGGCTCTGGGGCTCCTGGGAGCCCGGGCCAGACTCAGGAGGGCCTCTGCCCGGAAGAGAAGGCTGAAGTGATGGTCTACACCTGTGCTGTTAGTGGCCACTCGCCGCATGTCGCGAGTGAGTACCTGATACGTGGCTGGTCCTGGGGGAGATGTGCTGTAAGTGCAAGACACCGGATTTTGAAGATTTGTAGGAATAAAAGAATGTGAAGTGTGTTAATTTTTATGTTAATTGTATGTTGAAATAATAGTATTTTTACACTGGGCTAAATGAAATATATTATTAAGATTAATTTCACCTGTTTCTTTTTACTGGGTTTACTGTGGCTACTGGAAATTTGCATTTATTTTTTTAAGTTTATTTTGAGAGAGAGAGAGTGGAGGAGGGGCAGAGAGAGAGGGATAAAGAATCCCAAGCAGGGAAGCCCGATGCAGGGCTTGAACTCCCAACCCGCGAGATCATGACCTGAGCCAAGACGGACACTTAACCAACAGAGCCACCCAGGTACCCCTAGAAAATTTTCAGTTATATATGTGGCCCATTCTATTTCTTTTTAAGTTCATTTATTTTGAGGGAGAATGAGGCAGAGGGGCAGAGAGAGAATCCCAAGCGGGCTCTGTGACTCAAGGCTCGATCCCACAATCTGTGAGATCGTGACCTGAGCTGAGATCAGAAGTCGGATGATTAACCAACTGAGCCACCCAGGCGCCCTGGCTCATTCTATTTCTAATGGACATGCTTGTCTGCACTTGAATGGCAAGAGCCACGTCCCCAAGCTGCGCGGCTTCCAGACCTCCAGCAGCCAGGTTTATACCCCAGCTCCAGCCCTCCACACACACCTCTACCCCAGGGAGGAGATCAAAGGAGTTTTCTCTGGAGGAATCAAACAGCCTCAGACAAAGGGCCTACAGATGGTGATGCTGGGGACCCCCCAACACAGCGGCCACTTCCAGGCCAGTCTCTCTGAGAGACATACCATGTACGTACCCCCCACCCCCACCCCCACCCCGCACACAGGGCCTTCAGTCAGCTCTGAA